GGGAGGGAGGGAGGGAGGGAGGGAAAAGGGGGATAGCAATTCTACACAAATACTTCTTTTTGTGGAATTTTTTGTTTTTTTTTTATTTTATTCATTTTGTGCTGGGCTGCCCCGAACTCTGCCCGGGGTTCATACCTTCTTGTGCACTCGGGCGTGTTTCTGGGCACGAGTTGGGAGCCCATGTGCCCAGACAAACTGCCTAGAAAATGAGCAGGCAACTTGGACCGAAGAGCAGTGATAGGCACCAGGGCTGAGCCAGCCCTGGTGGAAGCGGAATTGAACGAACCTTGTCGAACGAGAACTTCGGACGCCAGGCCCAGACAATGAACTACAGGCCCCATATATATATAGCCACCAGACAGTTCTATCCGAATGTCAGTAGGAACTGCACCCAATGGCACCCTATCCAACCAACCCGAACCTACTGCAGGCCCTAGACCCCACCAGTGACTAACTCCCCAGTCTGTTTTTTTTTGTGTGTATACTCTGTGAATCTGTGTATGTAATATGTGTATATATGGTTGTATGCTGCTCCCCACCATGGAGCATCTACGAAGTGAATAATAAGTCCTGGTGAGAAGTGCTCGTACCACCTCCCCTAGTACGTCTATTTGACGATATATGTGTGTACTCTATGAATCGTGTGTGTATATCAAGGAGAGAACGGGGCGAGCTGGACAAGGACCCCCCGCAAGGACCGAGCCAAGCTCGAACCCGTCACCTTGTAACGTGTAATCGAAGACTCTACCGTATGGACAACTACCAGATATGGATCGAACGTGTGATATGCCAGACTGGGGGGAAAATCAGAACACCCAAGACCAACACCCCAAGCAAATCCTGTGAAACTCACAACCAACATACAACACCATGGTGGTGCGCAGGCAGTGTCTGTAATAGTACCATGCATGCGTCAGCCCAAGGGGATGTGTGTCCAGCCGTGCGTCAAACTAACGCCCTGCCGGTGTCCATGCGCAAGGCTGCGGGGTTTTGAACCCGCAACCTTATACCACAATGCGCATTTCCAACCGGTTCTCTAACCACTGAGCTACATCAACTGGACTAAGTGAGTGTAGTATCTTAAGTTGTGCCAAATAGTCAGTCCGGTTTGTACAGAATGCCTGCGACATTATCAGGGGGAGGTGGTTGTGTTTTCGATGCCTGCCACTCTGTTTTCTAAGGGTGATACACATTCGTTGGGTGGCCTCCTGGTTCTTGATGGTGGCGTGAACTTACAGTCTGCTGGGTTTTCCATATGATGTGATCAGGTGATATCCCACTTTGTTCCTTGCTGGGTCCATGGGTTCCTGTTTTGCTGCGTGTCTTGCTGCATTGGTGTCCCTCCCGCATGCCCCCCCACCTGTGATGTCGACCAGTGCGTTGTTCCGTCGTCGCTCACTGTGCTGCCTTGCTGCCTGATGTCGACCAGTGCGTTGTTCCGTCGTCGCTCACTGTGCTGCCTTGCTGCCTTGTTGGTGTGAAGAACGAGGCGGAACTGAGGGCTGGGAAGTCGATGCCTTTCGGAGTTTTTCAAGACTTTCACTCTTGGACGCGCAAGCAGACCAAGATGGCAGTAATTATTAGTGCCCTCCACAGGATTTATCAAAATTCTGCTGACAGCATGGAAGTCTTTGAGACACTGATCCTCCTGAAGAAGGAGTTGCAGAAAGACAATTATCCGGATGATTGGTTTGGCAGGGCACTCAGAAACTTCACGCGAGACAAGAACAAATGCTGGAAGATCTTCGCGGTCCTCATTACAGACAGTAGGATAATGAATTCGGCGAATATTCTGACCAGGGAACACCCTTCGTATGCAGTAGATGCGTAGTTTGTAGTTCACAGGTAGTTTTGTGTTTTACTACAGTGAAACTTCGACGGATTCGAACCAACGACCGGGACTGACAGAGGAACTTGTGGTAAACACAGGTATTCAGGGACTCGAATTTAGGGTCTGTTTTTTTTTCGCGTGTTTTTTTTTTATTCTTAGCATTTTTGTTTTTAGTATTGTTGTTTTGTATCCTATCGGCCCCGAAACCGGTTAAGGCCTTCAAGGATGCAGGTATAACCCTAGGAACGTAGCCGGGATTGCAACCGAGTGTGTTGATCGATTTTTTTTTGCTGTCATTTCTGACTGGCATGGGGGTTGAAAATGAAACTGGACAGACATAAAAGTGGGAAGTCCGAAAACTTAGGCCCTCTTGTCCAACAGGACATCATGCGGGTAGGACTAGTCACGCATGCAAACAGGTGCGCAGCAAACTGGTACCAAGCGCCCACTCAGACTCGCTCTCATCACACTTCTCACGCATGCAAACAGGTGTGCAGCAAACTGGCGACAAGCGCCCACTCAGAACTCAGAGATATGGTAACCGAGAACACATTTCAGATTCAAGTTCACTTCGATGGCTATGGCGACTCAGCGCCCACACAACTCACTGTTCGCATACACAGGATCACCCTGGATATCCCACACGCGATACTCTGAACGCATACACACACACACACACACTGAACTCTACTACAGCTATGGCGGCTATGGCCGCTACTACCCTATCGCTATGGCTACACTCCTCTCTCGCCCACTTCGTCCTCGGGCTCACTGCAGACCACCTCGTTTAAGTCGCTTGTGGCAGCGCTTCTGCATGGCTCCCGCAGGAATGAATGAATGACTGGGCGCTGCCTCTTGATTTATACTTCTGCAGCTCGTTGGTCTAGCCCTTTCCCATGCCCGTAGTGCACACAGTCCCATGCAGTACTTGCTTGACTGGACCAGGACTGACTGGAGACTGGGACTGTTGACTCAGCACGGGTAGACTCCACCACTTGCCCACTTGCCTCACCACTTGCCCACTTCCCTCAGCCTAAAAGTGGGCAACTTCGAAAGGCCACTACTGGGACCTTCCGGAAGGCCGTAGACTTGGCCTTTCGTTACTGTAGCAGCTACGACCTTGACCCTTCTGGACTGTAGCAGCTACAACCTTGACCCTTCGAGAAGGCTACAGCTACGACTTCTAGACCTAACTGAGACTCCTACTCGACAGGTCTACAGATCGAACCCCTGCTACCTATGGACCCTACGACAGTCTACCAACTGTTACAAATACACAGGTCACGGGTTCAACTCTACGGGTCGACACAGATACTGTACACAGGTAAGGTGGGGGACTAGGGATCGAGCCCTGGGATCTGCATCAGCTACTGCGAATTGGTGAATACCGTTTCAGACTTAGGCCCTCTTGTCCAACAGGACATCATGCGGGTAGGACTAGTCCGCCGTTATCGGTTCGGCTGACTATCCGCTATCATCATTTGCGCTTCATGTATTGTTAACCACCGGGTTTTCCCTAGGAGTTGTCGACACTTTTTTTCTCAATGAGATGAGCAGCTGTTTTTTGCTTCGACTCTGTCGTGTTTTCGGCTACGTGGTGCATGCTGTGTGATGCAAGTGCATTCATCTTTTACTCCGACACCCTGGAGACTATTCAGATTGGTGTACGGCGGATCTAAATTAAGAAATAACGAGAAGTAGGTTCTTGTCTGCTCTGGTAGAAGTTTTCTCCCTTTTTTGCTGATTATAGTTCTGGTTTAAAAAAAAAAAAAAAAAAAAAAAAAAAAAAAAAAAAAAGGAAAGAGGGCGATGCACAGACAGGAGGCAAGGGAGGTCATCCTAAACTTAATGGAAACTGACACCCAGGCACAGTGGAAAAGAGCGAGGCGGCAGATGAGATAGCAACCGGAACAAGAACAGGATTTGAAAGACAGGTTTGATCGCAGAATTCCGGGCAATGGCAAAGTTGCAACCATCCAGTCCTCAGGCCTCGTATTTCTGGAGAGACAGAGAGGATGATGAGGTGTCGGAGGTAAAGGGAAAGAGGAGCAACAGCAGTAGGGTTTAGGGTTTAACGCGAGGATAGGTGGAAAGAGAGAGGGGAGGGAGAATTCAGGCAGAGGAAAGTAGAGGTAGGTTTAGGGTGTAGCATGTTGGAACACTCTGCAGGGGTTTCAGTTCTGCCATTTCATTTCAGCCCTTTCATTTCTTAAGTGGCTCCTTCGTGCAACCTACAGTCTTCCCCCGAATACAACATATGGTCATTATAGCTGAATTTAGACCGAAAGATACGCCAAATTCAGCTATAATGACCGTACATTGTATTCGGGGGAAGACTGTAGGGGCAGGTTGGAAGGATCTTTCCTTTATTGCTATTTGTCTTTTGTTAATCCAGTTTTGTCTTTGTTCAGGAATGGCATGGAGCTTGACAGGAGAAAGGGACACTGGACACGGTTTCCAGTCTGAGCCTAATCTGGGTAATGGCCCGTGCCTTCCAGGTTGAGATGTGGAGGGATTCCCAGCCTCCTTTTGCTCTATATATACTGAAGCATGCTATTTGTAATTTAAAAAAAGAAAAAGAAAAAAAAAGTTGGACCTGATTGCCCAATGACACAACAGAAGTAAGCTTCAAAATGCCTATATTTAATATATTGTGAGCAAAGATAAAGACCTTTCCAAGAAAAGGGCCATTTGCCCTCTGTATCTGAGTCCCGCCAGAGCTGCGCGCCGAACTCTAGTGAAACTCCTGAACTTGCTGATTTAGAACAAAATGTCCTGTCATTTCAATCTGTCATTTGGCGGTGTATTAATTTAATAATGGTGAATAAACTGCAGAGCGATGACCTGCAAGCTACTACTATTCGGACTTCTTATGATATAAAAAAGATGTTTTCAAAATTTCTGCACGGGGAAGTAAGAAATACAATACGATGGAATTTCACAGATGTAAGGAACAAAAGATAAATACTGGGCAAAAAAAAAAAAAAAAAAAAAAAAAAAAAAATTTTAGACCTGTGCAACAATTAAAAAAAAAAAAAAAAAAAAAAAAAAAAAAAAAAAGGTAAATATTGGGCACATGTTAAAATTAGAGGGAAAGGACTCAAAGGAGCAACCACTGCGAAATCTGCTGGTGAAGGGGGGTGGAAGTCGCTACGAATAAGTGACCTAAAAACACTTGTAGATTTTACCCTCAACGTCGTCAACAATGTGTTTTTATTACTTTTTTAATGGCTGCAGGTGACATCTTGAAAGTTGAAACGATATAGGGTATCCCAATGGGCGGAAAAGCCAGCCCAGCTAGGCCCGTTTGCCTTGTACTGGCAGTTTAAGGGTAAGCATGAAGCTGCTCTTAGATTCTGGGAAGTGATGACAATACTAAACTGTATTTTTTCGCATGTTTTGCGTTTTTGTAGACAACTGGGCCCAGCGATCAAGTTTTTTTTCCTTCTTTTCTCTTCTTGTTCTTTTTTTTTCCCTCTTTTCTTTTTCTAAAGGGTCCATGTTGTAGTATGTGGTGGTGGAGAGGCCTTAGGAGGTTCCCACAGTACTCATCCATTGGGAGGTCATCAGATGGATCGCAGGGACCCAGGGGAAGTCACCTCAAGATGGCACCATGGTACCATGAGTCCATGACCTATGCTAATGCTCAGATTGCAAGTCGTGATCTGCACCAACGCTTACCGGACTTACCCGAACGTCTTCGTACAGACACTACCCCTGTTCCAGCCAGATGAGTAGATCCAAAATCGATTTGTGTTGTCGTGTTCGTCATACATACACCCGAGGTCTCAAAATCCCCTGTGCCGTTCACTTTCCGGCCAGCCCCGTACATTTGTCCTGGAGTTCCGATACTGGACCAACCGGATTAAACTCGCTCCCAGTACTGGTGCCTTGACGAGTGGTTAACCAGTGGTTAACCAGTGGTTAACCATGGATCCGTTAACCATCGGTCGATGCCTTGGACCAGCAGCAGTAAATTGGACAAAGGTACCAGTACCTTTTTTTAGCATTTTACATTTTTAGCCGGAATTCGAAGTTCGCTGGTTGCACTTGCACATAGCTTGCACAAAAAGGAAAAAGAGTCTCAGAAACAGCAAGTAGTCTGCACAAGAGAGAATTCTGACCTGCGTGGCCAAATTTGGGTCGAAGAAAAGGACAACAGCAGGGTTGCATCCCTGCTGACCGCCGACTCCGGCCGACGACCATATTGCAGCCGACCAGTAGGGCGACCAGTCAGAAAACAACCACCCACTGATTTTTTTTCAAATCTGAGATGGGGCCTGTCCTGTGCTTGCTGAGTACAGCCCAA